AGCACAGATTGGTAATCTGTGACAGTATATTTTTCCCTCGAAATTCCACCTATTTTACCTAAAAAAGGATACACCCGCTGACACCGTAAAATTCTACAGGATCCATGGCATCGCCTTGTTGCAGTAATCCGTAGTTACTTAAGTAATGAAAGCATAATGAAGCTTATTAATGGCGTAAGATGTAATTTATTTCCCTTGTACCGAACCATTCGCCATAAAACAAATATTTTTGTTTATGTTATGTCAGGCTAGCTACTGCTCAATTCGGTTACCAACAGTAAAAATTATTTGATGAGATTGAACTTGATTCAACTATATTAAGCAAAAATTTTGTTTACCACATTATGCAAAAACCTAGGTTTCACAAATGAAGAGTAATTCCCAGATTCGCCCCTGGTACTTTATGCGTAAAGCCTAAAATCGTCACGGTCGAGAAATAATTCATAAGTGCTAAAGTAAAATCTAGTATTTTCCGCATACTCATAATTATTTTTAAGTGAACAATTAGTGAAAGTTTATGCCAGTAGTGACCAGAAAAATAGAACCTGATGCAATTGATGCAAGAAATAAAAGCCGGATTCGAAGCTGATGGTCAACAATCAATGGAAGCTAATATAGCACAATCCTTAGAACTATAGAAGCTAACAGAGACACAGACCGGCAAGAAATTAGAGGTATGATTCAAGATGAGATACAGGGTGTCCAAAATGACATACAGATTGCCAAAGATAAAATTCATACGGTAGAAATTGAAATGAAATCTAAACACGATGAACTATATACGGAGAGAATTTTGATAAAAGATCCACTTGCTGTGCCATGATTGTCCCACAAAAAAGCGTCCGAAACGTGTGAAAATACTAGTACTCACGAAAGTTCAAGTCAAGCCACCGACATTCGATGGAAATCACCGTGGTTCATCTACTTGGGACAGTTCAAGGCCGCCGCCGGCCGGTACAAATAAGTGGACTGTTGAAGAAAAGGCAGCTTTCCTGATAGTTGCGCTACATGAAGATGCGTTGGATTATTGCGTACGATTCCAGAACACCAACAAAAGGATTTTGGGCAAATTGTATCACGGTTAGAATTTCGGTGTGGAGTTAAACATTTGCAGCAGATGTACCTATTACGCCCAAATATAGCATCGGTCGCAAAAATCAGGCGAAACTTTGCAAGAACTCGAAGCCGACATAGCCCATTGGTACAGAGTATGAAGAAAAACTTCCTACTAAGTGTAATGAAATGAATGAATGTGAACAGAAAATAAAATACAATATACGAATAGGAATAATCAATATAGAAGTAGAATCAACGTTACCAATATGAGATAAATACGATAGGGTAATAGAAACAAATCATTACATTTGCCTGTATTGCTTCAGGACTAAAATTTCTATCACCTTTCACTACCTGCAAATTGACTTTATTATGTGTTACACCTTTCTCGGCCTTCGTGTGGAAGTTTATAACAAGGGGTCCATTAGATGTCAGTAATTACAGTTATGGGTTATGATTAAGTTAACAACTTGATGGTATAACTTTGACATGTTTATCTCTGTATTCAATATCATTGCTAACCGACAAAGGGAAAAAGTTCAATGAAACGAATTGGGTAGCTCCGCTGTGTTAATTAATTTTCATGTAACTATCGTTGTACAAATAATCTGTAGATTGTAGAATGGAACAGTTGATTAAAATTTTCACTTTTTTTTACATTTACAGCAATTATAACATAACTTCGCATACAGATATAACAATTCCTATCCCTAAAGCAACGAGAATTCATTGTAGAGTAGGTATGCAATAACGGTCATTGTTGAAATATTCAGACAGCTTTTGTATATAGGCTAGGGCAAAGGACATACCGAAAGCATAATATCGTTTGAAAAGTATAACATTCTTTCTGGTTGAATCCAGGAAAATAATATCTTTTAACTGTCATCGGCTACATACGAAGATTCTATAAATGGTGAAAAAGTGTTTACTGTATCTTGGAGAATTGTTATGCATACACAGGATGCATAATGTACTACCACGGATTTACAGTGTTATACTACTTATATGTTACTTACAATCGATTTGTTTGGATTTTGTTAATTGCTTTGCGTCTGTACGCATGTTCAAGAGATCATCCATTCTCAACATTCAATAATTAAATTGTCACGACATTTTTGGGTAGGTATCTGAGGCACGCTCAAAACTTGTGCAAGACTTGTCCAGTAATACTCAAACACAGAGTTAGAGACTTCACTAGGGAGTAGCGGGGCTAAATCAACCCTTACATTTTACGTCAATTTTTTGCAAAAAATATCCTTAAGGCATTTCGAAATTTATTTAAAAGGTGACAATGTAGATAATTCAGATTATTTAGTCAACTATTAAACCATGCGGTAGTCGCAATTCGCATATTATTGCTCCGGGCCAGAGTTGGACTGGGTCACTGGGTCAACTGGGTCACCAGGGTCACTGAATTAAACTGGGTCACTGGGTCGCTGGGTCACGTCATATTCTCTTCGGTTAGACCCAGTGACCCAGTTTGACCCATTGACCCAGTTTGACCCAGTGATCCGGTTTGACCCATCGACCCAATTTGTAACCTACTTACTGGTGTTCATTCACATTTAATTTTCTTCTACTAGTTAGCTTAATCCAAATAAATCTATTCTCTAAATACTTTCTATGACTACTTGACTACAAACTACAAACAAATGCGCTTGATTTTTTTAGGTATTAGTTCTCTTGAATGAAATTGGGCTACGTGCTTATTGGCGAATATTATTGAGGAAGTTTTTTTTTTTTAATAAAAGTTTCTTGAAATTGTTTTGGATGGCAAAATTTAAATACCAATACAAACCTAATGCTATAAATTTGAAAAAAATTAACCTTAAGTTATTCCGGATACCTAACAATAATTTAATTACTGGGTCACCGGATTCAACTGGATCAACTTAGGGGTCAACGATTTAAACTGGACCACCGGGTCAAGATGGGTCACCGGGTAAAGCTGTGTCGAGATGGAGCACTGGGTCAAGCTGGGTCACCGGTTCAAGCTGGGTCACCGGGTCACTGGGTCACCGGGTCACTGGGTCAGTAAACTAACTGGGTCACTGGGTCACTCTATGCTTGACCCAGTCCAACTCTGCTCCGGGCCACCGAAATGGGGAATGAGGGCCAGTGTAGTAAAAATAGGGCAAAAAGAAGGACTTTTTCACTGTTTTTGGACTTTCCAGGCGCCATGTTGGTAGATAGACCCCAGGCATATGGCGCTGCGAGAGGTCCCCATACTTAAATGTTAACTTTACCATAGAAATAAATATTGAGCGCCGACAACAGGCCAGAAAGAAAAAAAAATTACAAAAAATGAATAATGTTTGCATTTTTGACGTTTTTAAGCGGCATTTTGGCATTTAGACCCCTAATATGAATACGCAAGTGTGTCTATAGCTAAACGGTTTCGTCGTGTGTACTAGATGTTAATCAACCCGTAAAGTACCCAAAACGTTCAGCGGCGTGCCTTGGGGGCTCGAAATAACCGATAAACTTGGATCTTGGATTTAACGACTTAAATGTTAAAAAGGGATCTGGAAACAGAGCGCATCGTTTTCAGCGGAGTTGAAGTAGTCTAGAACCGCCTATTGCCAGTTTGTAGCACAAAACGCCGTTAGGCATGATTTGGAGAGCCTTTTTCAAAAATGCTTTCCTGACTACTATGGTTTTTAGGGCCTGAAAGTTTGCAATTCATCATAATTTTTCTCTCAGAATGTCATTTGATGCCTATTTAACTTGGATATTTTAAATACAAACTTGAATCGACAATTTTACAATTATTTGCAAACAGTAGCAGTTTTCTCTCCTAAGTAAGCAACCAACGGCACACATTCATACTTGAAGTATAGAGTAAGTAGACTCTAAACTCAAATTTTCATGCAAATCGGTGGTATTAAGTTAGGTATTGCAAGTTCCTAAACATTTTGAGGATATTTTCTAGTACCTATAACTATTCTAGAGTGGCGTTTAATGACGAATGTGTCTAATAAATCATAAATTATGTTTATTAATGTATAATTAACGTTTCATTAAACTTAAAGATGCCCAATAGATGATGAGCTCGAATTTACAATTCTAAAATTACTTTCGAATAAGGAGTAGTGAACACCTATACAAAATAAACTAGTTGTCAGGTAAACTCCTGACTTAACTTTCCGGCTACTTTTAATAGTCATTGCAATTATCTTTGGTCATAGCATTTAGAAAATGCCCTCTACCGCCTTTATTTTGAACCCGACGCAAAAAGTGTAAAAGTCTTTTTTGTAGATCTCATTCAAGACACATCCTTTTTGTAATTAGCATTTTTCACTCTGATCATCAGAGTAAGTATCTGTGAAGAGAGAAAAATGCAAATTTAGAAAAATAAAATAAATGTTTAAATTTTCAATTGAAAACTTCTCAAAAACAAAGAAACTCACAAAAAAATTGTAATCAACTTTTTTTTAAGCCATCTTGGCCAGTGTATTCGAAAAAAATTAAACACATTTCAAACCGTTATGACTCTTTTAAACTTTTGACACCCTCAACAACCATGAAGATGGTTACGGATCAAAAGCAAAAGAGGACATTTTCGATTCCCCATACCACCCTATATGCACCCCAAATTTCGTCTAAATCGGTTCAGAGGTTTTTTAGTTATCGTGTTCACAAAAAACGAACCACATACACACACCCCCACTCACCCTCAGACGTCAAGCTAAAAATCACTTTTTTGGGGTCTGTGTGCTTCAAAACGTCCAGACAACATAATATGCATATGGAAATTTATCACGATTATACCATACTTTCCTTTATACATACTCCGTATGTAGTCGGAAAGTAAAAAGCAACCCTCTACACAGGGTCAACTTTGAATTTACGATAATATGCACTTTAAAAAAAGAAACGAAATATAGTTCTGTTTGAGATATATCTTGTAATTGTAAACTAATTACTATACTACACCTACTTACATAATGAAACTTGTTATATGAACTAATGACACATACACTTGGCAGATAACATTAATTTTCGTATAAACTCTCTAGATATACCTACACGGTATCACAAGTGAATTCTGACAAAAGCAAGAAATCTGGTTGTAATAAAAGGAATGTACCAAAAAGAATAAAATTTTAAAATACCTAGTCTCTTAGATCCACACAAATTGGTAAATCGAGTGAAACGAAATTTGATCATGTTTCACTCATACTTGTATTATCTTCCTGTGCTACCAAAGAAAATTTTGGGTTACAACGTTAACAGTGTGTGTTATTTTATTATTAACACACCTCGGGTAAGAATCGTGCATATGGCACATAACTCTCAAAGCATCTTTCTAACGCGTAAATAGACAGTTTATTATAATGCCCAAAATATATTAACCACCAATTTTAATTAAACCGCAGCATCAAACCGCCCATTTTGAAGTTAACACTTTGCTTTATTTCTCAATTACACGCTGTAAGCTGTTTTGATAAATATAGCCGAATAAAAAAAGAAAACTTATTACCCAGTTTTGTAAGTAGAAGCACCTAAATTTATAAGGATATTAAAGGAATGGATTTCATTTTTATTATAGGATATACGCAGCCACACAAATTCTAAATTCAGGAAGAAACGTAACTTAAAAATGGCATGAATGCAATACAGGCCGAGCTCACATTTTCTTAACGTCAGTTTGATTACAAACACCAATCACATTGACATATTGGCGAAGACGGAAAACAATACACGTATATTCTTAGGGATTTTAAAACCTATTGTGGTACTTGCACACGTAGAAAGTATACACGCTTCTTGCATTACCGATCCACAATTTTTTACATCATATTAAATTTATAAAACGAGATTTTAGACCGAATTTTAATGTCGCACTAATTTTGAAGTAACTTGAATCTTTGAATTCACTTACAACATGGGTAATAACATAACCACTATACCTTCTAGATAACATTGAATAAATAACAATTACTTATTCTATGTAGATGCTCTATAGTATAGGTTTATTACTTTTTCCATTTTAAACAATTTGAGTGGATGCACTAAAATGTATAAGAAATGTGACTGTGTCTAGTGTTAGTTTATAATTTGTGGTAAAACAGAAGCAGTATTTGTAGATTATAAATAAGTAAACGATTTACTGAATGCATGATGATACACCACTGCAATTAAATAAAATGATCATCAGTTAGTACCAACTTCATAATTTTTTTGATTTGCGGGAAATTCAAGTTGTCCTCACTTCTAATGAATCACTCGGTATATTAAGTATGGAGAACGGTAAGGGATTTTTACCGTTCGAAGACAATTGTTTGCAGGAGGAGCGAAGCGACGACTCCAATTATTGTCTGAGAACGGTAACCCTTAACGTTCGCAGTGCTTATAACATTTTTTGCGCGATCGAAATTAAAATTATGCAACCAATATAAATACGCACTAAGAAGAAATTAACGAGTAGAATAAATCGAAATGATCGAAGTGGTATGGTGTAGGTACATCACTAGGTAACCAGTTTATTTGTCAAAAATGAAATTTAATTTCATAAAATTATTTTATTTTATTTTATTATCCCTCTCTTGATTTTTGGGCCCTCGACAGGCATGCGCCCAATTACAGAGTGACCCGCATAATGCTATTTAGAGGTGCCTCTGCAGAAGGTCTTAAGATGGTCTATACTACTCCGGTATTTACCTTACCAATTAGGAAAACTGCAGGAAAACCTAATTCGGAGTAGCCGGTAGAATGCTCGGAACTGGTCTAAGGTAATTTCCGTCTCCGCCACAGATGAAAAATTCACCTCAACCCAGGTTCGAACACCCGACCTCCGGATTTATAACCCAATGCGCTTATGAACGAGGTATTCGGCGGTGGCCGAATGGTATGTCGAAGATTCTGAACAAAATTGTAATTGGAATGTGTTTGTGTTAAGAAAAACGAAAGCACATCTTCAAACACATTGATCTCTATTGCTTCAGGTTTAAATGAAGAAAGGTTCTTTCTATAGGAAACAACAGCACAAAATGTACGTTTAATGTAACAATATAGATTAAATGTAATGTAAGACTGTTGATTTTGAACCGATTGTTTTCAAAAAGGCGTCGGTAAGTATTTTTGCTGTTCTGTTTTTAGATCGGTAAGTAATTTTAGCGTCGTCGTAATCATAGCAACTGGTAAATTCTACGTACTGTCATGGAAACACCCATGGTAAATAGTCAGAAATGACCGAACGCGCAATAGTATATTGAAAGACAAGTGTTACAATGCGACCTATTGTAATGCGACTATCTTGTGGCACGAGTGGCGTAGCGAAGCGGAGCCACGAGTGTCCACAAGATAGGAGTATTACATTAAAGCATTGTAACACGTGTTTTTCATACTATTTTTTCTATTTCGGGGCTTTAATTTAATTAAAAGGTAATTATGAAAAACTACAGGAAACTTTAGAATTAATATGTCTTAAGTTGGCAACACCATTTACGTTGACAAATTTTAAGTTGGCAGCGTAGATAAACACAACACTGACATTTGGAAGCTTTAAATTCCGTGAATGTGTAATTTTTTATTCGTAGATAAATTTATTTATAATGGATGTGTAAACTGCTGATTTGGAATGTATAAGTTCTTCGTGTACCAAAAATCAAGAAAAACACATAAATTTTACGTAATTTGATTTCACATCTGATGATTTGACGTTGACGTCTTGGCGAACTGCCAACTTAGAGATGAAAAGTTACCAAAAACAATGTTACAATGGAACTCATTGAAACACTGTTTTTGCCGAAAACAGTTGCACAAAATTCTCATTGTAACACCGAAATAGAAAAAAAAGTATTGTAAACAGCTGTCCACGACAATCTTGATCTTTTTCACGTCTGCCGTGCAAAGTACAAATAAACTGTTTCAAACCAATATAGACATCAGTTAGTCCTTTGACCATTGGCTACCTATTATTGAAAACAGAATTGGAAAATTCGAAACCATTGGCGAATTATTATGTACACAGATGGACGGACCGAAAGTCCAAAATCACCGAGTGATTTTAGTTACACAAGTTTCATTAATAACGTTCATATAGAACGCGTATCATTCAAAATTTAATCTACGACACACGACGGTCCAAATAGATTTTATTCACATTTTTGAGTTAGGTATCTAAACGTTTTCGTAAATTAAGATTCAAAATTATCAAGAGCCCATTTACTAGTGAATGTCATAGTAACCGAGTTTGACAATTTTTACGTTTGCTATAGAAAATAGTAGTAATTATCATTTGCGTGCTTTTATGAATTCATAAGAACACTAGTGCTTTTATGAAAGCCGTAATGGTATCCAATTGGCCATGCTAAATCTGTCATAATGACACCATCGTAGATTAAAATATGTAATGACATTGAAATGTCATTGAAAAGTTCGCTTGGTTAGCGCATATAAATGCCAAAATAGTTCAGTAAACTACCATTAAAAAAAGACCGGAGTATAAGTTGGCCGGTCACGCAGACAGATATTCTACAGGGTGTTTAAGGGGTATGGTAAATTCAATGATTTGCCATTTCTGTATGCTAGATTTTTTCAAATTCATTGCATTTTGACAAAGTTTCTTATTCTTATTCATTGAGATTTATTCTGGAAGATATATTTAAATATTGCGTGTTATGAATCAGTTTAATATTGAAAAATGAACGAAGTATTGTTCGGGGGTAAACACACAAGAGCTTGATTTTTAATCGGATAATTTTATTTTTGCACGAAAGTTTTGTTGCAACTTATAAAAACTAGAGATCAAAGTGTAATAAAATCGCGATAGCTTTAGATTGGTTATTTAAGAATTGAACATAGGAGATGTATGTTCAGAATTTACGCCGCAATTTACGCACTGTATGTTTGTCAGCACGTCAAATAATTGAGCAAAAGAAATGCGTAATGTCATTTGACGCACGCTCCTCAAATGGAGGGGATACTCTTATTACTTTTTTCTACGAAAGTGTAGAAACACGATTGTTTTTGTAGGTAAATTGATTGTGAAAACAGGTCTTTGAAACACTAGTGCGGCAATAGTATATTAAAGTACAAGTGTCATTTGACGAAGATTGTCGCACGAGGTAGTTTGCCGCATAAGCCGCGTAGCGGCGAATGCGGCAAAAGCCGAGTGCGACAAGTAGACAAATGACACGTGTGCTTTATACTATTTTTTCTATTTCGACTTTTATTTTAAATAATAAATTATACAAATTATAAATATTGCCTTTAGGCGTTGTTAGGTAATTTTAAACTATCATTCAGTGTATGTTGGTAATAGACACAATTCATTTATTTTCACGTTGGCTAACCTGATTCCTGTATTTTCAAACTTCAAACTTTTAATTAGGTATTTGGTCATAATTCCATTTTGCGGCAGTTACGATGAATACGGATGACAAACACGTCTCTTGTACCCCATCGGAGATCCAAGAGATTGCCAATGAAGCGACGTTAAATTTACTGCCTGTAAAATCGAAAGTAAAGTACGAGGAGTACAAAATTTTTGAAAACTGGCTCACCGAGAAGGGGAGTTCAAAAAGTAAGCAAGAATGTACTGCTGGCATATTTTACTACGCTAAGTAAAAATAAAAAAAAGTTCTACCCTTTGGAGTATATATTCAAAATTAATCGGAATTAATACAATCGGTCAAGTTACTCGTACGTTATTTACACTTTACAGGTTATGTTTAGTTTTGATTTGACGGATACCGTTGACAGCAAAAAAGCAAGGGGTACCAATCCAACAAAATAAAAAAAATAATGCGTTTCTATTTCTTTCGGCATCATTTCTGTCTAGAAACGCACGCAAACTGGGCCAATCAAGTACGGTTTCGGTATTGTTTCCACATCGAAATAGAAAATAGCTATTTGTATAACAAGGGAGGAAAGTTAAAGATTCCCTCCCGCGTGTGAGGTTTAATGCCCGACGCGAAGCGGAGGGCAGTAATCACACAAGGGAGGGATATGTACTTTCCTCCAGAGTTATACATATGATTTTTTCTACTACCTCAACTTTAATTTATCAAAGATAATTAATTTTTACGGTAAGATAAC